GTCCAGGCTGAGGCAGTAGCCGGCGCGGCTACGCTGAATAGAGCGGAAGAGCACGTAGTCAACGGAGCGTACGGAGCCCTGCAGCTCCAGCAGGCACGAGTCCTCCGACGGGCTGGAGCCCCCGGGGAGGTCACCGATAGCTGACAGCACCAGAGACCCGCTGTCCATGGACACTGTGGACGGCAGGGGCTGCTGGGTAGCACCAGTCTGGCCAGGCCCAGGTGGTTCCTCTTTTCTCAGGCCCAGCCTCTAGGGGGCCACCCTGCCTCCAGCTTTATCTCCAAGGAGACAGGCACGTCCAGAATTCCAAGGAGTCTCAGCCATCGCTGTCCCTCAACCAACTCAGCCTCGTCTCTCCCTCTTTGCCCCCACCCAGCCCTGCAATCCCAGGCATCGCGGCCCTGGTCCACCCTCCCCACTTTCTACTCACCATCAACAATGGAGGCCACTCGCTCGCAGATACAGGAGCCATCGTGAAGCTGAGGATCAAACAGAGTGGCCTGCAGAAGACACAGGGGTCAAGGGTCCAGCCATACAGGCTGATATGGCCACCCCATACGCTGGACAGAGTTCTGGAGATCTAGATTCCAGGCCAGCTTTGTCACTTTGTCCACGTCACTTATATGGGCCTCAGTTTCCACAGCTGTAAAATGGAAATAATAGGTCTTGCCCCACCCATCTCACCAGGCTCGAGGGCAGATCAAAGATGACAGTGGATATTCTCTTACTATATAGATCACGAGAACTAGTATTATCTTTATCCAGTGACTGCAGCTCACTCAGCTTTGTAGGCTCTATACCCGGCTCCCCAGCTCACACCAAGCCCTGCTCTCACCTGGCTGTCTCCTCGTAGCCCCATGACGGCCTCATAAGAAGGGGGGCAATCAGTGGGGTACAAGGGCACCGGGCTGTCCATGGAGCCATTGTAGGTAATGCTGGCAGGATGAGGGAGAGAGTTAAAGCCTGAAAGAAAACTCCTACTCTGCAAAGAGCCCTCCCCACCAATCCAGCTGCAACCCCAGTCCCCTTCCTTAGTTTCCCCAACAGGATTCTGCCAGGCCTCACCTCTGTGCATCTGTTTCTGAGCTGCAGGTGTACTCTGGGGGGATAGTAGGGTGGTGGGGGCACAGGTGGTACAAATTCCTCCAAGTCCAGCATGGTGTGTAGGAGTGGGGCTGGGGGCGAGGATGCACAGCCCAGAGGCCCCAGAGGGCCTGAGACTGAGCGCTCAGGGGCCAGCTGCTGAGGAGTAAGCAGGTCAGCAAGCCTGGTTTCTGGGAATACAGCTCCCTGGCTCCCAAACTCCTGTCTCATGTATGTTTTCTGGCCCCACCCCCATCCAGGAAGGACCTCCAGCTCTGGCCCTACGCATCTAGAAATTCCTCCTCTTTATGGACCCTTCTGCACCCAGAATTGCTATCTGTCCTCTGTCCCTCCCAGAACATCAACCCCTTATTCCCACCCCTCATCCAGGACATTCTTGACTCCTCCCAACTTTTAGTTCTACTCTCCAATGCCCCAGACTGGCATCACAAACTTTTCTTACTCCCTGTCATTCCCCTCCTCACCCTATGTTTTGGGATCCCCCCAAACATCCCTACAATAGACATGCCAAAGAGGTGACCCACAGTCCTTGGTGCTCAGAAGCCAGCACTGTAGCCATCGCCCCTCAAGCCCAGATCCAGCACACTCACCCCTGCCCTCATCGTATCTTCGGGGCCTTGACCCCTCCCCGCTCACCGTGTGCACAAGGTCCAGGGAGAAGATTTGGATGCAGCAGACAATAGCAGAGAGGGTACAGATTATGGCGGCACAAATGGTGAGCCCACAGACACTAAAGAGCAAGTTCTGGGGAAGCGAGAAAGAGGAAGAGGGATGTGAGAGGGGCCTGGGGTTAGGTAAAGCCCACATACTGTAGGCCTGTGAGGACCTCAGGAGGGGACACAAGGGTTAGAACCAGGAGGATGGTGGGAGAGGAAGGAATGGTGGAGGTGCGGGGGCATGCTCACCTTGAGGGCCCCTCGGGCTTCATCACAGGTAGAGTTAGGGGCAAGTTTCAGTTCCTGCCCTGACTCTGGACAGGGCCGGAGAAGAGGAACAGGGGGGCAGCACACACAGACCTTTCCGTCCTGAGTGGGAGTGGGAAGGATGAGGCAGCCTGAAACAGGACCAACCCAGGTGTCCCGCACACCTCCCCCAACCAGTGCTCTCAGGCTCTCCCTCTTCAAATCTCACCAAGGAGCACTCTCGGAAGTCTCGGGCCAGCTGAGCATTTTTACAGGAGAGAACAGAGCCAGCCATGCTGAGCATGACACAGAGCACCGAAAGCAAGGAGAAGAAGGAGATCTGGAGGAAATAAGGCACAGACTTAGGGCTGGGATCCCAGGGGTAGCCTCTACTGAAGATGGAGCCACCCTCCTTCACAGACATTTATGCCTGGCCAGTGTGAACGGGAAAGCCAATTCCCTTCTCGAGGGCATAAATGGGCACCCCCTCAGGTGCTGGGCACCTGCCTCCCAGTGGGCACCAGACCCTAGCACATACCACTAGAGTGAACGGCCGCTTCCAGGACACAATGCCAACCACCCCGGAAAACGCCAGCTGGGGACAGAGTGAGCACAGGCTCAGCCTGGCAGGGGAGGCACCTGAGTGAGCCCCTCACCACGGGGTGCACCCAGCTCTGTAAAGAGGAAGAGGACGAGGAGACAGGAGAGGCCAGGATTTGGACTGGCAGCTGGTGTGGAGGGGTGGGGCCCAAGGATACTCCCCCACCCAACAACTGTGCACCCAACTCACCGAGAATCCAGCCCAAGACGGGCAGGACCTCTTGACGCTCTCGGTGGTGGTGACGGAGGAGGCCACCATGCTGAAGGTGACCACCAGGATGCCCAGGAGCACCTGAGCCAGCCCCAGGGTGAGCAGGGCCTGCAGCCAGGGTCTGTGGAGGCGGAGGTGGGTAAGGCCCCGGGTGCTGGGCCTGCTAGTCAGCGAGCGGCTGGAGTCACTAGGCGAGGGCATCATGCCTGCCGCCCGGTTGTCTGCGCCTCGCTCGGCTCTCCCTGGTGCTTGGGAGCATCTCAGAGGCGCCCAAGGCCCCGTCCTTTCTCCTCTCCACCCCTCTCGCTCTAGAGCCCACCCCCTGCCTGAGTCCCCTGGGGCATGGCCCAGGGACTCCAGCTGAGGAGGCGCCCAAGGGAGGGGCGTCACGGAGGGGCCGCGGAGTGCTCCCTCTCCACCACGGGCACTGGACGGGCACCGTGCCCGGGACGGCGATGAGGACGCGGGGGCACCGGCTCATCGCATCTCCCTAGGGAAAAGGGGAGCCGAGAAGGGCCGGTCCAGGAGTGAAGTGAGGGCGGCGGTCCGGAACCCAGGGAAGGGTGGGAAGGGTGAAGGCAAGAAGGATGGGAAAAAAGTCTAGAGAAGAGGGGAGGATCGGCGTGGGGTGACTCTAGAGGCGCGGTCGGTGTGCCCTCAGAGTGTCCAGTGGGATCCGAGGCCGCCTGGTGGGGAGAGGCTGCGGCGGCTCCGTCTCCTGGGTCGTCAGCCCCGCTCCCCTCCCCACCACGCTCCCGCTCGCCCAGCTCGGGCTGCAGCAGGTCCGGGACTGGACGCGGGGGATGGGGATGGGATGGTGCGGGAGGAGGGGCGTGGCGCGAGGGCCGGCGCGCGGTGCACTCTGGGAGCTGTAGTCCCGGCAGAAGATTGTGTGGGAGGAGGAGGGCGGGAACCGGCCGTAGGGTCAGCCGGCCGCCGCGGCCTATCCCGTGAGCAGCTTGGGTCCTCGCCTCTCCCCGGACCCCGTCCGGGCTAACAATTTGGGCGCTCACTTTAGCCCTGCCCAGCCTCTCAGGCCTCTGGGCCCCCGCTAAGTACCCAGCAGAGGCAGCGTCTTTTTCACTAATGGAGAGGGGTGGGGAGCTGAGCTCCCTGGCAGATCCACAATTCCACGCCCAACCGTGGACTTCCCTCCCTCTTCCTACGCCAGCCAGCGGGCTCTGCTGCCCTGCCCCCAACGGCACTAAGGACAGACCCGACCTTCCCTCTTAAGTCCACATTCTGCTTCCACTCCAGTCCCCTCCACTTTCTCTTCCGATTAAAACTCCAGAAACGGGGATTTCCAGTTCCACTTTCTTTTTATTTAAATAACCGAAGCAACAGCCTTGGCACAGCAGAGGGAAGCTGGGTTGGGGTGTGTAGGGGTGGCAGCAGTGTGGCCTTATGGGAGGGAAGCAGTGACTGGGTCACAGTGGGACTCCCTACACCTGTAAGTCAGGTTCAGCAGTCACGGCTGTGGGATTGGGGGCACTATAGCGGAGACGTCAAGCTGTGACATCTCACCAAGTCCCAGAGACCTCAGGGATAGGGGCTAAGTCAGCTCCCTCAAGTGGCAGGGCCAGGGCATCCCAGTCAGGGGTCACGGGGCCCGGAAGGCATTTTCAGCAGCCCCAGCGGCTGCATTGGCAGCTGCGGTTCTGACCGCAGGATTAGAGAAGACACCAGCAGCAAATTCTTGTTGGGCCTTCTGAAAGCTGGCACCTGTGCGGCGATACAAGGAGTGGATCTGCAGGTAGAGAAGGCACAGACTTTACAGCATATTCCGGCCACGGTTGCCTGCTCCAATCTAACACCATCACCACCACTCACCAGCCTGCAGCTCTAGCTTTTTCTTCTTGGCTCCCTCCCAGCATACACACACACACACACTCCTCCCACAGAACACCCACCTCCCGCCAGAGGCCCATTAGCTGAGAACCCATCCATCAGCTTGGCCCTCCCCAGTTGCTCCCGAATGTTCCACTCAGGCCCCTAGGGACATATGATCTCACTCTCCTGGCCCCACCTTCAACACAACCCCTCACCCGCTTTAGCATCACAATTCCCAGCACAGCAATGCCAGTGAAGAACAGGGCAACCAGCAGCATGAGCACAGCTACAGCCGTGTTGGTCTTCAGCACCACCAGAGCAGAGATCCAGCCACTGTTAGGAGGGGAAAGTATATGGAAGTGATGAGGGGCTTCTCACAGCTGGGTCTCTGTCCTTCCAGCTTCTTCACATGTCGCAAACATGCCCTATTCCCACCCATTCCACCAAGGGCCGTTTCCCTAATCAGTCTGGCAGCTTTCCATGCACCACAAACCCAAACTACATCTGTTCTATTCATGATTCAATCCCAGCTTCTGAACCACTGGCTTCTAGCTCTCCAAGCTCCTCCAGACATCCTGACGCCAAACGGACCTTTCTGTTGAGGATTCTCCCTCTTCTTCAACCACTGGTTACATATGCCTTCTCCAGGAAGCCTTCTCAGATTGACCATATGCAGCCATCTTTCCCCTAATCTATGCCTGTCTAGGGTTCCATCTGTGCTCTATCCTGGAGTATGTCCTGTGTTTCTTAAACTAGCACCTGCCAAGGATAAAAACCACGTTTCCTTTTTCTGAACAACTCCTACGTCGGTATCCAGTGCTGACTTGGACTAGAGGAGCAGGAGGAAGGAGTGAAGGCAAATGGCAGCCTCACAGACCTGAACCCCCAACCTGGGATGCCAATGGCCTGGAGGACAAACAGCACATCCTGAACGAAGAAAATGAAGAAGAAAACGAAGAAATTGAATGAACTGTCACTCCTGCAAGGAGAAAGGATAGGAAGGGTAGGATTAGAATGAGGGCTGGAGGAGCCAAATGGGACCCATCCAAGTCCCCTCCCCGCCATCATCCCCACCTCCTCTTCTTACCGGAAAGCCTTATACATGGGGCGGTACCAGCAGACAAAGGAGCAGGGAGTGAAAAGGAGGATCCAGAGGATAGAGAGCCCAAAGCCTGAGCCATTGCTGGTCTCCACACAGAAGCTGGCCAGGCAGGCAAGGAAATTCAGGAGAAGAGCCAGAGTGCTGCCTGAGGGTCGGAGGGAAAGGACAATGGATCAGTAAAAGCTTCCTCCCACAGAAGCCACCCCACCACCCTCACCAGATGTGGCAGAATAAGGAAAAGGCGGCAGCCTTCTGCCTTCACAGGACCCTCAACTCAACAGGGGAGAAAGAACTAGCACGTCTCAATCACATGTGATCCCTTTTGTTTAGACATTTAAAGGATTTAGTATACAGTTATAACAGAGGATGAGGGAAAGGGGGAGAGGGTAAGAACATACATTTCCCAGAAGGCTGAAGGGTAAGTTCTAAATACTATAAAAGGAGTAATACTGGAAGATCCTGGAGAAATTAGCCTTAAACTCAAAAGCTGAGGAAAGGTGAAGTGTCTAGTTCTAGGTGAGTGGGCTCCAGGGAAGAAAAGATATACAAGTTACTACTTGTACTCTTCCTTTAAAAAGGCGTCTCACTACTCACACATCCAGAGGTAGTACATAGTGGATACTGTCTTCTGAAATTCTTGGGGAATCTCCATGGAGATGTCCTGGAAAAAGCAGGGCTGAACTGGGCAAAAAGAAGGTAGAGGGGGCCAATTGTTCTGTCGAGCTGTAAGGCACAAAGAGAGCAGGAGGACCCCACAAGTGAGACAGAGGCCAAAAAATTACCCCCCTTTCCTTCTACTCTCAGGCCCTCTCTTCTATTTCCAATTCTGGGTTCAAGGAGACAAAGGTAAGTAGCAAAACTAACATTAATAGTGGGTTTTTTTTAAACTGAAGTATAGTTGACTTACAATGTTGTGTGTGTTTATAATGACTTACAACTTCTAAACACTGTGTCAAGCCCTTTGTATAGATGACCTTGTTTAACCCTCACAACAATCCTGTCAAATAGGTACAAACATTATTTTCACTTTACAGGTGAGGAAACTGAGGCACTTGAGATTAAGTAACTTGCCTAAGCTCACCCTTAGTAAGCGACAGCGCCCAAATTCAAACTCAGCAATCTGGCTCCAGTGCCCATGTTCTTAGGTCCTTTTTTGAGTCTTCACAACTGTCAGATGCCCTCCCCCGGTGTACCAGGGGTCCACTTACTAGCTGTGCCCCCAAGGGCAGCATGCTGCAGCTCTCGCTCCCTCCGGTCCAACTCCTCTGCCTTCCGGTTGAGCTCCTCCTGCTTCTTGAGCAGCTCAGCTGTGGCTGCTGCAGCTGAAGCCTGCCCAGTATGAGCAGAGAGAGATGTGAGTCCTGAACCCCAGGGCGGGCCCTTCTTCCCAACTCCTACCCACACATCCCCTTTACCTGGGTGCTGTAGGAGCCATAGTTCTTGGGTTCTGTGGGGCTGAGCTTTCTCGAGGACTGCAATGGGGGAGCCAAGGGGGGAGCTACCGGAACAGGAGCAGGAGGCTCATAGGTTGGTGGCGGCTGTGGAGTTTGGAAAAGACCTTAGGGAACATCTAGTCCCTCGTAACACAGGAATCTAGAGTTTGCCTGAATTCCTTTAGCCCTAGAACTCATTACCTAAGGCAGCTGCCCCTCCCTCAGGTGTTAGAAAGTTTATATCAGAGAACTCTTATATGACCTGCAGCAGCCCTCGTTACCCCTCACATTGAGTTCCTAAGCCAGGACTCAAATACTCATCTACTTCCTTAACTTTTAAACATTCTTACCACTGAGACAAACAGGTGCATTCTTCTTTATTCCTTGCCTTCTAATTGTACACCTAAGCATAGTTTGTTTTATTCTCAACTGTAACCAGTCCCATTCCTTTTCTTCTTCAAAGAAGCCTCCCTAAACAAAGTCTTGGTTCAGGCCCCGCCAGACTCCAGGTCCTCCCCGGACCAACGTTTAGAGATCCAACTGGATGGATCCTTGGCCCTGGTGTCTTCAGAAGGGTTAGGCATCCATGGAAGACTGGCCTCTCTCAGGAAGCTAAGCCTGCAGCAAAGTCCCGTGTACCCCAAGAGAGTGGACTTGTTGGCATACCCTACCCTTCCTGGCCCTCCTGTGCTCTTCAGAATCTCACCTCCCGGGTCTCAAAAGGGTTGTAGACATCAAGCGTGGCATACTGCGGGCTGGGTCGGTGCTGGATCACGGCTGGGTCCTGAGGGCAGAGAGCTGGGGCTCAGCTGGCACCTGGTGCCTCTAGGGGAACTCACAGGGGTCTCTTTCCAACTGTCCGTGGCTCGAAGGACTGCAACTTGGGGGCCACGCTGTTGTCCTAATATTTGCCCCCAGTCCTTCACCCCACACTGCTAGTACCAGCTCCTTAAGGGGCAGGGCCCGCCCCTCCAGGGTGCTCACTGGTCTGGAATCACCGTCACTCCCACGTGGCAGCCCTTCCTCGCACCAAATGTCGCGATGGGAATACAAGTTCGCCCGACCCTCTAGAATCGAGAAGTCAACCCAGCTACCCAAAGGAGGCCGGCGCAAGTCACCTGAAAGGGGTTGTCAAGCTCGCCGGGCTCGGCGAAGGGGTTTCCACCGTCTCTGCTTTGAGCCATGTTTGCAACTGCGGCCTGGGCCGCCGGCCCCCTGCCCTCCACGCCCCTGCCGCGGCAGTGGCGGCGGCCGTGGCTCTCAGAGCTCCCTCCGCTCCGCTCCTCTCGGTCCGCCCCGCTTCTCTGTGCACGGATTGGTTGTACCGACCGGAAGGGTCACAAGGATTCCCGCAGCAGCAGCGGGTTGCGCCTGCGTCTCGGCTAAAGGCAAAGAAGGAAGTGCCCCACGTGACTCCTCCAACATAGTCGGCCTAGCCAAGCACCGCCCCTTCCCACGTGACTTCCTTCAACCAACGAACTACACTTCCCAGGAGGCCTAGCGTCAGAATCCCAGTCTGTCCTAGTCCTCCGAGATGTCTTTGACCCGTGGTGACTGCCTCCTAGAAGCCCAGGTAGGCAAGTTTTAAAATCTGGATTTCTGCCTCTATCCTGGGGCCCAGCCTAATAGCTACAGTAATCAGACCTCTTTCCCAACCCTCATCTTTCCAGATCAAACAAGTGCTAACCTAGTAACCCTTCTCCATTCTAACTGGCAAGAAATGCTATTTCACCCATCACTACTCTCCTGAGACAAACTGGACATCCGGATAAACTGGTAGCCTGACTATGGTTAACGTCGGAGGGTAAAATGGGACTCCCTTTGTACCCAAACTCAGAAAAGTTGCCAACCTTCTCATCCCTCCACCCCAGTATTCCCAAACCTCAAACTCCAGGGATGGGGGTCAGATGAAGCACGTCATTTTATTTCACAAAGACTGTACAAAATTCCTTATAAAATATGGGATAGATGCCACCTGGTTACCTCATTCTGCCCCTATCCAACTCAACTGTGGAGGGGTAGGTGAGGGTGGGAAGAGTGTGAGATGGAATAGCATTATGTACAAGGCGGGGTTGAAGCGATAGGTACAAGTTCTCATATTTACACTATTTCACATATTCACAGGTACATAGGGAGCCAGGAGAGTGGGCTCCGGCTCTGTTCTCTTGTATAAAAAAGCACCAGTGTCCTGGACTGGACACCCACTGCTGTTAAGAAACGCAGCGGGGCCCAGGGCCTGATCGTCACCGACTGATATCCCGACTGGAGTCCCACAACTTGGCGTTAGGTGGCTCAGCCCGAAGGCGGGCGAAGAAAGGGTGCTGAAGGGCTTCGCCCAAGGTCAGCCGCTTAGCAGGTTCATATTCTAGCATGCTTTCAATCAGATCGAAGAGCTGATGGTGTTCCTCTGCCTCCGAGGTCAGATATCGCTGGTGGTGGAGGTTGGGAAAAAGGTGAGGCACGATGCCTTTTATAAACCCTGCCTTCTTCGTCAAGGCCCTAGCTTTCTTTCAATTCTGGAGGACCAAGGCTCTGCTTGCAACTATTAAGAACGCTACCTCACCATAACCACATCATGACCATTTCTGCTGTTACAGCTCAACCTACCCTCCTACTAGCACAATTATTCCTTCATAGTCTTTGAAAGTTCTATTTGTGTATCCTTGTCAATTTCATGAATCTTCTTTAGCTCCTCATTAAAATGTAAGCTCTTCCAAAGTAATTTATTCTTTTCTGTCTGACCTAAAGAATCCAGGACATTGCTTTCATCTCTGGTTGGTTCAAGACATGGCTGTCTAACCTCATTCCCTCCATAAAACTGCTCTCTCTTATCTCTCTTCTACCAACAAAAGATGTCTTCTTTCAGTTGTCCTCCCCTTCTTTCCTAACCCTTTGCTTGTGAAATGCACTCCAGGGGCAAAACACCTTAAGAAGGAAGTAATCTCTGGGTGGTGGGCACTATTTATTCCCAGCCCGGCTCACCCGAAGTGGTTTGCAGTTTTCTCGAACGTAGCGTCCAGCTGACGTGTTCTCATCCCAATCCAGGCGACCCCGATAAAAATATTTCTGCTTCCTAGAGGGGAAGGGGGAGGTTGAGGAATCAGGAGGTTCCTCTTGCTGTGGGATAATTCCCTTATTCCCCCATCTGAGAGTAGCTGGGGGGAGGGGAGATGTCAAAGAAAAAGAAAATGATGTGATATAGACCAATTTTGTGGAGAGAAGAGGAAAAGGGTTAAGTCCCTCCCACTCAAGGTTCACCTTGTCTTTCGGATCATCCGGGAGGGGATAGGACCCAAGATCCTTTCCATCATGGCTAGATGTTCTCTGTTGTCATGGGTCTGGGAAACAAAAACAAAACTGAGCATGGAACCAGGAGGGGATGCTGAGGACTAGCCACCAGGAAGATAGGCAGTGTGGAGGAGTGAGTAGGCGGGTCCTCAGCAGATAGAGAAATCAGGTAGGATAATGCCTAGTAGTCACATAAGATATCCCACCACTTACTTGGAAGAGGGTGAAGCCAACATAGTATTCAAAGATGATGCAGCCTATGCTCCACACATCACAAGGCTGTGACCAGCCCAACTCTGGGTAGGAATGAGAAGGAAAAGGTATTATGAGGCTCAGGGGGCCCCATCCTTACCACCACACCAACCCCAACATATTTGAACCGCCTTGTTCTCCCCGCCTTACCAAGGATGACCTCTGGTGCTCGGTAATGGCGAGTGGAGACAATGGTACTATGGTGTTCATGGTCAAAGGTGGCACTGCCAAAGTCTACCACCCGCACAGCTGTGCTCTTCACGCTGCGCTCATCTCGCTTCTAGGAGCAAAGCAGGAAGAGAATGAACCTCTGCACCGAGACGGAGAACGAACCAACCAAGATTCTACCACTATTCTCTGAAGTGCTCCTGAGCCTTAGAAAGCACCTCTGATCTCTTGCCTGCTCCCACACACGCCAGAGAATCTCCTGCTTTACAGCCTCCTGAATACTGAGCAGAGTACTTGCAGAATGGGAGAGAAAGAGGAATATGGAATAATTATGGAACAGCACACATGCCCCTCTGCATCCGAAGAGTATACCCACATGACTGGTATATAGTCTTTTGGAAAATATATAGCAGGTAGCAAAGGGAGAAAGAGCTTCCTTAGCTGAGATCTCCATTATCTCCAGTTAGGCAAAGGAGCTGAGCTCTCTACAGAAAACCCAAACTAAGAAACTTAAAAGCATTTTCACTCTTTTGGAAAGTTAACAGAGGTTCTTTTGCCAAGTTCTCTTCCAATTTAAGTGTTACATCTCTCCCTTTCTATCTATTCTAGCACTCTGGTTTTACTCAGTCAGAGCCAGAGCAGAAAATGTGGGAGAAAGAAATAAAAGACAGGACACAAAGGGCTAAGAGAAAGGCCAAGTGGCAGGGACACCTGCACCCACTGGCCAAGGGGCAGAGCTTGTCCATCTTACCTTCTCTAGATTGTAGGTGAGCTCGTAGTCTGAATTCACAAACAGAATATTTTCAGGTTTGAGGTCCGTATGTGTCAGCTTGTTATCATGGAGGACTGCAGAGGAGAAGGCCAGGTCAGGGCTGGTTCAGGTGGACAGGGCTAACTGGCACCAGCTGACCCCAAGCTTGGTCACCTAGCTTAAAGCTGGTGAGGAGGTAGGTCCACAATCATTAGGCTGCTTTCTGTTCTATATCCAAATGAAATGCCTGGTCTAAGAAGCCCTATACTTATTAATGTAAGATATATATATGTATCTCTCAACAATGTATAAGATGATTTGCTATGAGTTGCATTTTTGTACTGACTCTTGACATGTGTTTGACATCCTGTGAATTCAGCTCTGTGAAATTGTATTGTTATGAAGACTCAAGAGGAAGTATGTACTAGTCTGGATCCCCTACCTGGCCCCAAGGCTGCACTATTCCCTGCCCCCACCTGCTTTGTTGGGATCAGACAGCATCTCAGCTCAGACAAATATAAACTTCTAGCTTGAGGAATCTTTTTGTCTCTTTGTGCTTGCTGCATGGCTTACACTTTCCCAAGGAAGGGGAATGAAGGAAAAAAAAGAGGTAATTAAGTGCTTTGATTTCAAATGCTTTTTCTTCCAGCTCCTGCTAGGCTGAACATGGAGTAAAAGCAATCAGTGATGGTGAGGACATCAGTGGAGGAGTTAAGTCAGAAGAGGAAGAGATGTCAACAGAACAGTGAATAAAAGAACTGCAGATAATTGAGTTGACTGTTTAGGGGCTTCATCAGTGCACAACTGAGACAGAAGAGGTCCAATGGAGGGAGGGGTGCCCCAGAGTCCGCCTCGGCCCACCCCACTCACACTTGACGGCCTGGCACAGCTGGTAGGCCATGTGGCGCACTTGGTGGATGGGGTAGGGCAGGTAGTTGTTGTCTTTGAGGAAATCGAAGGTGCTAAGGCCCAGAAGCTCAAAGGAGATACACATGTGGCCATGGTAGTCAAACCAGTCAAACATCTGGACACAGAGGCTGGGAAGAGAGATGGGGGAAGGGGGATGTCTGATGAGCTCCCTTCTGCCCACCACCCCTCCAACATAGAGGGACTGCATAGCTGCTGATTCCACACACCTGTGTAAAAACATGCCAGCTAGTATCACCAAGAAAATTCAGTTCAGCTAGGGAATGGCCTTTCTGGCAGATCCAAGAAGAGATGTACTACCTGTCATGTTTCAAACTATTTTCCTACATTTTAAACAGCTGAAAAGAAAAAAATTGTATTTGCTGAGGAGCTGCTAAGTACCAGGCTCCAGTGTGGATCACGAATTGTCAAACTGCCACTCCTACATCCTGACCCCAGCTCCCAGCCCTGAAAGTCACTCACCATCAGCTATCATTGGGCCCATCTTTATGTCTATTATGTCTTTAATAGTCTTATTCTATACTTGGATTATGGAAAGTGTGTGAACAGAAATATTAACACATAAATATCTGTGGTCTTCTCAGCACAGTTCTGGGTATTAAAAGCTCAATTAATTTTTTGATGAAAATGTTGATTCTCAGTCTTAGAGCCATTTCTGGGCATATCCCTCCTGGACTGGAGCCAAACTGTGGAGCAATTTGCCCTCAAAACAAGGAGAATGGATTAAAGAATAACACAGGCCCTTCCTTCCTGCCCTAATGTTCTACTGCTCTAAGATGATAAATTAAAGACGAATGGATGAGAAGATCTAGGACTCCCTTGCCTGCCTAACACAGGTAAGGAAGGTTTCCCGTATAGGGATGGAGCCACTTAGACTCCCCACATACTCCTTTGCTTGCTTACTTCTTGTTGTCAGGGTCCTTCTCATTGATTTTCTCCAGCACGTTGATTTCAAGTCGAGCTGCTTCCTTGTACTTTTCCACATTTTTAATGATCTTCAGGGCAACTCGAGCCCCGCCCCTATAGAATAACAGAAGAGGCTTTTGGTGGAATCTCAAGAACATCTCAGACTGAACAGGGGATTAAGAAATTCTACCTTTGGCTAATCAGCAAAAAAGTCCCAGATAATCTCCCTACCTCTTTACGCCTAACAGATGTGGAGTACAGAGGGGGCTGACAGTTACCTGCGATGGTCAACACACTGTACAACTCGGCCGAAGGTCCCCTCTCCCAGGGTGCTTACGATTTCATCTGAAATGAAAAAGAGCAGGGTCGGGGAGAGGGAGGGAGAGAAGGTGGGGAATGAGCTGAGTTGGAAGAAAAAGGGTACAGCAACCTGGGGTGAGGAGATGAAGGAAGGGGGAACAGATACAGATGGTCACAGGAGGAGAAAACCCCTGCGTGATTCCCACCACCTTTAACCCAGGGGCCATGAGAGCTGGAAGTGGACAGCAGAGGTCAATCTCAACAGCAACTCAAACCACCCAGATAAACAACACCACTGAGAAGAGGCAAAAGAGGCTGTGACTTGGGTTGGCTCGGGACGTTAGGATGGCTATGGGACCATTACAGGCTATAGGATTGTTACGATTTGGCTTGTACATCGCTCTTGTAGCCAGTCCCCGACGTGGTAGATGAGGTGGCCCTCAGCGTCGTCCTCTACACTCTTGGCTCTCCGGCTGCTGTGCTGCTGTCGGGGGGCGGGGGGGGTCGGAGCAAGCCAGGTGTCGGAGCGGGGGCCGGAGGGAGGCGGGGTGGGTGGTGGAGGGGTCACCGGTCACAGGCGCCCAGCCAGGGGGGACAGACGATGATGGGGGACAGTGGAAGGGAACACGTCAGATGCAGTAAGGCGGATCGGGGTGAGAAGAAAGAGCGGCGCATAACCCAAGTCCCCAAACCCAAAACGGGAACAGGGAGAGGCACGGGCAGAGCAGAGAAGTGGTGTCGTTGCCAATGTCACCCACAACCCCATGCTCTACACAATGCCCTTCCAGGTGGGCACAGATCTCCCACTGCCCCCACCCAAGCCCACCTGCTGAGGGGGCCATGGAGCCCAGGGCTTGCGGGAGAAAGGCGGTTCACAAGCAAGGTCCCCACTAGAAAGTGGAAGCCTCTGGGGTGGAAGAGCTGCTCCCAATACAGTCAGCCCAGCATGCCAGGGAGGGCACTGGGGTTCACAAATGCTCTGTGCCCATCCATCTCCAAAGCAGATTCAGGGCCCTCCAAGAGTCGGAGAGCTTCCAAGAGAATAGACACTCAGCGCCCACCTCAGTGTTCATACCCCAATGCTTGGCTGAGAAGGATACTTCTCACTTACCGGGGTCCCAGCGGGCTGAAAAAGAGTAGGGAGAGGAAGGGCCCGGGCTGGCACTTACCGAAGACGAGCGGCTGAATGTCCGGCTGCGTCGCCTTCGCCGTCTATGCTTCCGCCGGCTGCTGCGCTGGCTGCGGTAACTGCTGTTCTCCCGATGATATTCGTAGGAATGCCGGTAGTCCGCGTCGTAGTAGGCTTCTCCCCGATCCCGGCTGTAGTCATTGCGCCTGTAGCTGCCACAGTATCGCCGGTCATATGCCCTCCGGTCTGATGAACGATCATCATAGCTGCTGTTGGACGACAACACCATTAGGTGCATCTGTTCAGGCCACATTCCTTGCCATACCATGTGACAAGGCCCTCCCTCACCGAGGACAAGGAGTAATGCTAGAAAAGTTGCTCTCACACACTCAAGTCACTCTGAGAGGACCAAGACCCAGGGCAGTGATGTAACCAAGCACAGAGGAGGATCCCCACACCTGCATGTCACCAAACCTCTGAAAAGACATCTGCAGAACAACTCCTTCTGAGAGCCTCCTCCTCCCCTCCAGTGATGCAATGGAACAAAGAGCCGCTTCTTTCTCCAGCCTTTCCTAACTGATACCTAGCTTTGCTCCCTAACTATCCCTAACCCATCCCTCCCACTGAATATGCTGCTAAGTTATTAAAACCCTGTAGCTCTATCTTTGTCTTGGCTGTTAACTCGTTCATTAGTTACTTCTAGCCCCAAGTCTTTTGCATTTGCTCTCCTTTGTCTAGGACACTTCTCCACTGCCTTTTAGACAAGCTTAGGTGTCACCCTCTCTGGGAAGTTTTCCCTGAACTACACACATTGCCCCACTCCAACCAAACCTGTGGGAAGCTTCCTCAGCCCCTTACTATATACTTTCTCCACGATAATACTCTTAACACCACAGTGTAAATGTCTTATTTTGTCATCCATCTTGACCATCCCCTTCCCCCAGTTGCTTAACATGAAACCAATAAATCTGTGCTGAATACATAAACGACTGGGCCGAGTATGGGTTTCTCTTCCCGAAGCCTCACCTCCGGGAACGGACGTGGTAGCTGTCTTCCCGCCGGCGCCGCCGAGTCCGGTCACTGCTACTTGACCAGGAGCGGCTTCTTCGTCTCTTATGCTTTCGGCTCCGATAGTGTTCATGGTAACTCCCCCGGCTGCCTCGCTCTGAAGAGTGGTACCTTCGAGGATGAGGCATCTGGAAGGGAAGGTAAAGTTAGAAATAGTGGGGCAGCTCTGAGTTTTCAAAAGTCTCTTCCAAGGACTGGCTGCTCCAGAGATGTTAAGCTGCCTTCTGCTCTTCTATTTCTACTTCTTTTGGCCACCCACAACTCCCTTGGTTTTCCTCTGTTCTCACAATCCCTTCTTAATAAAGTATATATTCTACTAATGCTGGCTGAAAACTTTAGGAAGCTTCCTCCCACTCAGCTCAGTGCTCTACTCTGATTTTCCTCAAACATGGCTTCAAGAAGATACTCAGGTGTGGGCCAAAGCTTATTACAGCTCAGACTGTGTAACTGATGGAGACTGCCACAGTTTATCCTTGGCTGAGATCTAGAATAGTTCCTCACAACTCAACAGCAAGAGAACAATGCTTTAGTATACGCTATTGTGACAAATATTTACAATCATTGAAAGTGGATCTCATCTCAACTGGACCATCCATGTCCTGAGGGTAGGAATCCAGTTTTACCAGGTTTCTACACATAGTAGTGTATACCAAATAAAAGCAAGCTCCAGGGATCTGAGTCCGGCCCCTTGAACTACCTTAATCTTCTCTCACATCACTGGCAAAAAATCTCCCTTGAATGATTTTAATACAGGAGGCCCCCAAACTGCAGTCAGCTTCCCATCCGGCCCCTCCCCTTTTATGCTAAGAAGTAGAGAATAACTGGTTGTTAATTAATATCAGTACTACTTGGCTAAAAGCTGGCCACCTTCCAGGTATTGGAATCGCAATAGCATGGTGCACAAATTCTTTTTTTCCTTCAAGGAAAGAATCAGAGAGAAATCACTGTCACAATCCAGGAAGATGAGAAAAGGAGAAGAGAATAAAATTAAGTATGCCCAGAGACATAAGTCTTGGGGAAAGGCGTGGGTTAGGTGTGGATAAAGCTCCAACATCTGGCTCCCATTCTGAGCTAATTTTCAAATTGAGGAGGACGGTGGTAGTTGATTCATTCCTGGCCTATCAGGGCTTGTAGGAAACCAAGAAGATGCAATCACCAGATTCTCCCACATAATTCAACGTTGATTAGCATTGCCACATTTCATCTCATCATCTTCTCACATACGTACTGCTACCAAAGTCCCTCACAGGCTTCCCTCTCTCCCATCCCCGTAAGTATCTGCAGCCTACAACTTTCTCAACTTGTCTTTTTTTCTCTTTCTCAGAAAATCCAGTACTAACCCTTAGAGTCAAACTCCTGCCATATCCTCCAAGAGACACGGCATTGTCTTCTCCCTCACTAACTTTAGTCCAACTTTGATATTATGCTCTTTCTCGTCTCTGGAACCACTCCCATCTCTTCTCCATCACCCCTCTTCTACTTTGGTCCCTCCCAACTTTCCTACTGGTCTTCAAACATCTAAGGCAGATCGACCTTCCACTTCATCTTCCTACTCCTCACCTCTGCCACTTCAGAGGTCTCAGCCCTTCCCCTCTCCTAATCTGGCCCTGGCCCCCTGCCCCCCAATCCAATCTTATCCCTGCCAGCCCCGCAGTCGCCATCTTTCCGCGCGGCCCGTGGCCCGCCAGCC